AAATCCCATCCACAGAGAATCTACAAAAACGATTATCTGTTTCTTTCCACCTTGGTTAGTCCTTACACACTCCTGAGGTAAATACAGGCTTTGAAATTAGTGTCACGCACTCAACACTCCCTATAAAAAGATAGGCACTTAATGTCTCACCAACTTAATCCTCTCATTTGATTTCTACTGATGCCCAAAGAAGAGGGATCGCCTTACCGTGACCCATTTCAGAACCAGATCTCCAGGAACACGCTTGATTTCAAAACAGAGCACACTCCTGGCCAGTATGTCCATTATTAGCGATTGCTTAAGTAAGAGAAAGCCAGCATTTCTACTGCAAATCCAAGGTGGCAAGACTGTATTCAGAGGACGATTTAGCAGTTTTCTTTTCTTCCAGTTAGTCTAATCATTCTAATCAATAGCATTTTAAAGATTTCCAAGGAAATAGTGTAAAATACCTACTTACTGAGCTACTCAAATACTTTTTAAAAACGTTCACATACATATTCTTTTATGTAAAAACATGGACAGGAAGAAACTGCCCAAACCAATGTGAATATTGTAGATATTTCTACTGTACAATTAGATATTAAACATGTTATCAGAGATATGAGCCACAGTATTTTGAACCTCTTCAAGACTTGAATATGCACAGCAAGCATAGCAAAGTGGTACATTCACCCCCAAACACTTACAGAAGCAAACCAAATCAACTACTTAACACACTGGGTGAACCAAACTTTTGAATGCATCATTTCTTGAGGAAAGTGCACAGAAGCATCATCCTAGATGCAAAACTGTAATTCTGCTTATGCACATGCTGGAGGCTGGAGAGCAGGCTTGGTAGTTAAGAGCACTTGCTGCTCTCTGCAGAGGTCTCAGGTTCAGTTCCCAGAACCATATGGTGGCTCATAGCCATCCCTAACTCTAGCTCCAAGAGATCTGACACCCTCTTCTGACCTCTGTGGGTACCAGGCAAGCATGCAATGCACATACATTCATGCAGGCAAAACATTCATACACATAAAAATAGGCAAACTTTTTTTTAAAAGAAAATATACATCCTCTGTGTGTAACAACACAGAATAAAAATCAAATGCATCCTTTCTGGGAAACAAGTCCTAATCAAAATAATACAGTAAAAATGTGATAGCCATCAATCTCCTGTCTTCCCAAACAGTAAAACAAGAGTTCAGAATTGATTTTGATTATACCACCCCAAGCTAGACACAGATGTATGATTATAGTTTTAAAGGTGGGATAAACTAAAAGCTCACCTGCTTTGTTAAAGAAGAGCACTAGCTGTTTTTAACTATTTCTCAATTCATACAACTGTCATACTAAACTTGATTGACTGTACCTGTTTTAGTCAATTTTAAACATTATTTAAAACAATCAAAACCAACTGTTTTGATTGAAACCCTTTAATGGCCAAAGAAACAGCATCGATTCAATTTCTGACAGACTCTCATTAAAATTACTAAGAAATCCTCCACCACACGCTAATGTAATTTCTGTTGGACTTCTCATTTGGTCAGAATTCCCCTTCTCCCAAAAGGCACGAACCAGGCACATTCAGAAGCATTAAACCTAACTAACAACAACTGCCATGGTCATCACATCGCTCCCTCATTTATTTTTACCTTCTCCAGCCTCTCAAAGTATTCCCGAAGGAATGCCATAGGTCTCTCGGGTCGAGCAGTGCACAACTGCACAATAGAATCCTTCAGCAGGGCCTGGATGTTGTGCTTCTGGACATAGATCTCACATTCCCGGAGACTCCGCTCTTCCTCACTGGCGGTAGTACTGCCAGACGCCATGATTCTCTGGGAGAAAAAGCACAGGTGTGCTGGGTAAGCTAGAAAGTACAAATGCAAATTTGGCCTGTGAGTTATTAAATTCACTAGACAACAGATTCATATAATTCTTTTCCCCACCCAATAGTTTTGTGTTTAAAGAGAAGGTGGGGGCTGGGATATAAAATATGTACAGAATTTGAGTTCTTCAAAATGAAACTAAAGTGTTTCGTTTAGTTCCTACTGTTCACCCTGAGCTCAGTGTGCACAATCAGAGAAGACCCTTGGCTCCTGGGAGGGAGCAGGAGCCAGTCTGCCCTGCTGAGCAAGTGAGGCAGTGCTGAGGACTCAGGCCCTAAGAGAATTTCATTCAGCAATCTTGCAAAAGACATCATGATGATGACGTGGGAAATGTGTAAATGGTAAACAGGACAGAGAATTACAAGGGCACACAGGTCGGCTCTAAGTGAAAGCACAGAGCACAATGAAGAATATCTGGCATTCCCCTGTGCGCACCTCCCATCCCATGAGCACAGCTAATGTCACACAGCAAACCACCAGGGCAAAGGAGCTGATTAGCCAAATATTAGTGGAATCAAATTTTCTGAAACACAAAAGAAGCCTCGGGTGCCTTTTCTCAGCAATCTTTCATTCCATTATCTTTCACTAAACTACAGCCCTAGAAGGTAATACAATTATCAGTAGAAAGAATTGAAAGGTTGTAGTACAGAAAATAAAATCTATCAAGCAAACTAAGATTTTCTTCATCTAGACAGGAATATGTTAAAATACACTGGCTGAAAGCTTACAGGATGACTCAATAGATAAAACTGCATTCAGACTACATTAATGTGAAATAGCAAGACAATAATGGGCAGCCAACCTGCCAGAGTTAAAAGCTTGGTACTTCTAACAGACATTTAGTTTTCCTAACTCCTAATTACTAAGCACTTGAGATTAAAAGATGATTCCCTCTCTACTCTGCAAACCATCTGAAAATTAACCACTTTTCAAATGATAATGCTCACAGACCCACCAAGTAAAACTGTGAATTTAAAAGAAATGGCAGGATAAAGAACTATTTCAAAGTGCTACACTGTTATCGTTTTGTTTTGACAACTTTCTAGATAAAGGTCAATAACAGCAATTAGCAGACCAGGAGAAAGTTTGTGGTTCCACGACAAGCACACACATTAGAAACCACAGAGGCAGGCACGCTGTTATTTCAGAATAAATTCTAAAGGGAAGATTTTTTACTGTAAGATAACATCTGCTCTTGCCATGCTTCCAGGTCAGACAACTATCTGAAACCAAGAATCTACTTCAGAGAATTTTCTCCATTCCAAATACTGAAGGTCACCAGGAACATGGATAAAACAAATCTTTTATGCTCCAAAGCATGCAGTCTCGTTTCCACAATGTCAGTACATGTATATTTGACCGACTAGAGGAATCGTCCCCAGATCTGGTCTCTGGCTGGTAAGACGGCTCAACTGGGCCTGGTAAGTGAAAACTGGTTTATGCACTACACAGACCAAGAGGGCGGCACTCCCCCCAAATTACTGCAGTCACCATGTGAAACCCCAAAATTGAATTTTATGGCCTTAGTATCTTTAATCGGTTACGTCTTAATTCCACATTTGTGCTTATTTTTCAAAGCCCAACAACTCCAAAACAAACATTTTAAAGCCATCACCGCACTGTCTATTCATGAGGGCAAATTCTTGAGGAAATTCAGCTCTGATGAAACTCTCGCTTTCAGAGGGACTACACTGGAAGACATATTTAAAACGCCCTGAGAGCCTGTTGCTGACGCGGCCCGCATCCCCTGAAGGATGCCAAGGAACACTAACACGGCCTTGGGGGGGGTCGTCCTCTGGTTCGCGCTTTCTGTTCTCTGCTCAAGAAACCGATCTACTGGGGTTCCCTCGAGTCACTGGCTGTCCCCACCCCCGTCCTGAGCTGGAGGGGTTAACGGGCGCCGCGTATTTTCAAGAGGGAGGACAGGAAAAGTGCCCTTCACTTCACGTAGGCCACGGTCATGACCACTGCGTGCAGAAGGACGACCCTCATCCCTCACCAGGCAGAAGGCCTCAGACGCTGAGCGGGAGGCCTGGGGAAAGCTGGGGGAGGCGCTGGGGGGTGGAAATCGGGGAAGGAGGAGACGTGAAAGGAGGTGGGGGGGACGGACAAAGAGAACTGGAGCTGGACTGGGAGTCACCGAGCGGAGGGGCGGAGGGAGACGAGCCCGCGAAGGGGAGGGGAGCCAAGCGCAGCAATGGCCGAGTGGGGATGAGGACGACAGCCGAGTATCACGACCAAGACAGAGGAACCATGGCGGATTCCGGTTAAAAAAACCGAGCTGTTGTCCTTCAGGAAGTGGGGGAGGGAGGACGAGCGCGGAGGCCGCGGCGCGCGGGGGCGGAGGCGGCCGGGGAGCCGAGGGAGGCCCGAAGGCCGCG